TATTATATATATGTAGAAGCGAACATAGTTGATACTGAATTACTAATATGAACATTTAGTGTCCTAGCTAAATTCTTTTTTGTACTTCAATCGATTAATAGAAGGCTTCGAAAATCAATGGAAGTTATTGGAATTAGCTCAAAGTCTCTGGTAGTAACTGAAAGTCATTGGAAGTCTTTGGAAGTCTTTGGTAGTCTTTGGAAGACTTTGGAAGTCTTTGGAAGTCTTTGGAAGTCTTTGGAAGTCATTGGAAGTCTTTGGTAGTCTTTGGAAGTCTTTGGAAGTCTCTGTTCATTGGAAGTCTGGTGTACACATTTCTCCTGGAGATTTACCCCTCGGTTAAACCCTTGCTAAAAACTGCAACCTCAAGTTTACTGAAAATTAAGGATGAAGAATATAAAAAATAGAATCTATTACCTTAACTATTACAACCGAGATTACAACAGTCAACTGTCTTGAAATTCTGATGAGCAGATGGTTTGTTGAATGTTTCAATCTAGAAAGTCATTCAAATGATAGGACAAAATGAATATGTTCCTATAATATTTATTGGCTGTGATGACCATCACCTTGACATTCACTTGAACCTTTTTCTTTGTTAATTCAACTGTAACTCCACTATCGTTCATTTTAACAGGTGCTTCATCAGTGATTGTAGCTTTTATGGTTTTTCAAATTTCATCTGACATTTTACAATTTTTCTTGATTATAGTACGAGATCCGACTGAAAGATTACTGCGTTCATCAATATTCAATGAAAATCATATTTGAACATATATTCATGAATATGAGAATATAATTTCACCAGGTGGCCTATCGAAATGTGGCCCCAAGTATTTTCTAGTAAAATAACGATGAAATAATATTGATTGATCATTAAATGATCACATTGTTTTGAAGTGGGTAATACACAACATTGTTTAAATTGTTGTTAATGTAAAGCATATTTGAAAAAATGAAGAAGTTCCTTCTGTGTCATAAAGGCTATAATGTTCTCGACTTCAATGATGCATCATTCAAAAAGTGATCTGTAAAATTTGTAAAATTTGTATATCGCTACTTCAAAGTTGGGAACCAACTCCCCAGAAGTTGAAACTTGTGCGGGGTTAGGAAGAGCGGGACCTACAGCTTATAGTGGAATCCGAACCACTTCTAGGGCATCGAGGTGCTGCCAGGATTACAACCATGAATCACACATTTTAAAGAAAAATGTTCAGCCGATAGCCGGATTCGAACCGACAGTACCTCTGCATCGTGAACGGCTATCTAGCGAATTGCAGCGCATAGACAAACTCGGCCACGGAGCCCACTAATTGTTATAGTATATTACCTAATTTGTGTTCTAAGAAGCATATTACGAACGAATAGAAAAGCCGCGCACGTAGCCGCGGAGCGGCGAGTGTGTGATAATTTCATGAGTGCGTAATTGCTTTACACCACGTACTATACTTTACCTACTGCCATATAGTACATCAAAAAAGTTTGGACAAACAGCCGGAATTATAATTATTTGCAGTTATGTCATCCGCTGTTGACGGCGATTACGCGATCATGACATACCTATACTGGCGGAATAAACGAAAACTGTGCAATGCTTACTGTGCGTGCGCAAAGAGCTAGTTACTGAGGCTGTATCTCGTGTGTTCTTGCCTACTTTCTATAGTGGCCGTAGGTAAAATACTATTGCTGGCCGTGATTATTCAAAAACAAGTTATCCATCCCGAGAATAACGAATAATGAAATACAGATCGAATTGAGGTATTTAAGAGCAATTTGAAGTACTGAAAATAATGAGTGGGTATTGAAAAATATTTATTACATTTAAGAAAAATAAAATATCTCGTTACAACAGGTTGATTTTATCAAGAAGGATGCCTAGAAGTTTTAGAGTTATTATATCACCTGTTCATTTGACCCAATCTCCACCCCACAACTCGAAAAACAAAACGAAAATCTGTCAATTTCATTGGAAATATCTTGCTATTTTTTTTTTGTCAAGGCATATATCATAGATTGAAATCATGCTGTACCCTGATATTGTCGCATCATTTCTGCCCCATTTTCACCCACCTAAAAATCAAAAAGAAATCGGAAATCTGTCAGTTTCATGGGGAAAAATATCTTACTATGTTTTTTTTGTCAAAAATACATAAGGAATATCATTGATTGAATCCAAGCTCGCTGTCCCCTGATTTTGTCGCAGTATCTGTGATAAAATAACGAAAAAAAAAAATTTATTGAATCAAATTTTATGATTATGAGCCTAGCGGGTAGCTTCAGCGGTCCTTATTCAGAATTATGAAGCACCCTGTATTCGTCCAAATTAACAATCAGTAGATAGTAAATCAAAAGTTAAGATGGGGACATGTGAGCCGTTTTGACCGAAAATGAATAGTTTCGACACAAAAAATCCTAAAGTTGAAAAATCTCGATTTTGAATACCCTATATCTCTGCAATCATTCCCGCTAGACACCAAGTGTGATGCATTGATGAAAGCAGCTCTTCAGGGAGAATCTAAAAATGCAATGAAATACAGGATGCTCCATTTGAAACTCGTCAATGCCCGTTACGCTTCAAGATTTCAACTTTGGAATATGATAATAATTGACGAAAAATGTGTCCCCCGCCAAATTGAAGTCGACCTGTCCGAACGACATCGGAGATTAGGGGGGTGACAAGTTTTAGCTGGGACACACTGTATCTGAAGGAAAATTCAAATTCTCAACTTAGAAGGTTTTGTGCTGAAATTCTTATCTTTATCTTATGTTTAATATTTTTATCGATTGTTCGAGAATCTTCCGATGCCACCATATGTATTAATAATTGATTGTTTCTTCACATGTTACGTTTCAGTATGAATGAAATAAGAAAAGATCATTTTTTTTTTCAAATATATTTTCGTTTTGGGGATTTATCATGAAAAGTACCTATTGCTTTAAATGATTAAATTATCCCGAGCGAGTTTGGCGTGTAGCTATATTCCGCTAGGCTGGTCTATAGCGAAGATTGTGTTTATACACAAATCGGGTACGGCGAATCACTCCCTATTTAAATCCTTCCTACCGATCTGCCTTACCTCGTTCCTATTAAAAACTCTAGAAAGAGTTCTAGACAGGAATATTAGAGAGGAGAATCTGAGGGAAGATCCCCTAAATCCCCATCAATATGCCTACCAAACAGGCAAATCAACGAATTTAGCACTGAACAATCTTGTAGGAAAGATCAGCCATTCCTTAGATTCTAAGGAAATTGCTCTGGCAGTTTTCCTGGGCATAGAAGGAGCGTTCAATATTGCCCTACCACAATCACTCTATATGGCAATGCAAGGTAGAGGAATCAGCAGTCAAATATGCAACTGGATCAAAACTATGATTGGAAATCGGTACGTCATATCATCACTGTATGGAGAATCGATCATGTTCAGAGCGGCATAAGGTTGTCCACAGGGCGTGGTACTTCTAACCCTAATAGTAAGAGGAAAATTTGAAGCGACGACTCAAACGGCCTACAAGAAGCCCTTAATACTGTGTACAGATGGTTCGAGAGGGAGCAGATGTCTGTGAACCCCCGGAAAACTGTAATCATCCCTTTTACCAAAAGGCAAAAGCTAAATAATCTTCGTCAGCCTGTCCTATATGGAGAGAGGATTCCGTTTGCGGCGGAGGTGAAATATCTAGGGGCCACCCTAGACAAAAGACACTTGGAACGCCCACATGGCAAAAACTATTAACAAAGCCAGATTTTCCCTCTGGAACCTCAGAAGAGTATGCGGCAAATCATGGGGAATGAAACTCAAACAGATTTACTGGATTTACCAAACAATGGTGAAACCAATGGTCACGAATGTCTCGGTAGTCTGGTGGACTAAAGGTCTGCAAGGGACAGCCAGGGCAAAACTTGCTGGTCTTCAGCGGCTGGCATTCCTGGCCATTACAGGGGCGATGTCCTCTACTCCAACGGCAGCGATGGAAAACCTCCTGAACTTCACTCCCCTCCACATTGTCTTGGATAGGGAAGCCAAGATGGTTTTCTACAGATTCCTTTCACTGGAAAATCAAATTAGATGGGGGCGACTGCTGGACCACTACGGTATACTGTGTGAAATAAAATATCACCAAACTCTAGGAATGGTTCTCGACATTGTCTACTCAGACACACGTGAAAAAGTCTTTCAAAGTCCACTTCCCGAAGAGAGACGAGTGGGTAAGTGGATCAGTCCAATTCCCAGAGACCGAACACGTAATGTACACAGATGGTTCGAGAGCCCATCTTGGTGTTGGAGCCGGTGTGTTCAGCAGAAAACCGAATACGGAAATCTCTGTCAATCTCTGTTAGTATGATACAATCTTTCAGGCGGAGGTCTTCGCTATTGAATTGTGTGCTAGAGAGTTGAGGAATAGACCTCTAGTAAACAAAGACAGTATTGTGTCAGACAGTCAGGCTGCTCTTAAAGCACTGAGCTCCAGCAAGATAAATTCCAAGCTTGTATGAAGCTGTATTGAATTTCTAGAATGACTGGGTGCAAACAACAGAGTCACTTTGCTATGGGTGCCTGGACACCAGGGGGTGGAGGGCAACGAGAAAGCCGACATCATCGTCAAACAGGGAACCGAATCTATCTATCTCGGACTGGGTGGAGGGAAAATACCAGGATTAACCCATTCGAAGGCGAAGGCCTAAACCATCGAAAAACAACCAGGCAAATCCTAGATTAACCTGCGAATTCTGACAGGACTGCTTACGGGACATTGTCGTCTAAGATACCACCTGGGAAGGATGGGTATGAACCACCAAACGGACTGTCGGTTCAGCTGTGTGGAAGACGAAACGGCTGAACACATATTATGTTCATGCTCTTGCTCAGAGAGACTGAGGTTCGACATATTTGGCCTTACCAATTTAGAACCTATCGATTTCAGACTAATCTCACCTAATTCAACCATGGACTTTGTGAAAAGATGTGGATTTTACAGTGAACAATTTTTTTGTTTCATTACAGAAATGGACCATGAATCTAAGAAAGATCCTCTCGAAATGGAATCGGCAGATTCGTCTTCGTCCACTCTAGGTAAGATTACGAAATTACATTTCATCTATGATTTGTCGTTAATGATATTTTGGTTTAGTTCCAGAATATAGCCAAAATGGAAATCATTATTTCAGACGATCGATGAGTGTTGGTGATATAAATTATTTACGAGCCCTTGATACCCGTGAACCACAAATGATAAGGTAAGAGATGAGTCAGTTTTTATTTCAGAGGAAAATATAGCGTCATCTAAAAGTACTGTTGAGGATATCAATTTATTCCAAAAGTCTATGCGCAACTCAATATAAAACATGACAATGGGCTGGTGAACTGTTTTATCTTCATTTTTTATATTTGATTACCACACTGATGCTTTCGATTTCATTATTTTCACAAATTTTCTGAATGCTTTTGATGTCTCAAAATCACAAATGAGCCACAGTCACGTTCTCTATGATTCACGCAAGGGGTGTTTGACCCCTGATCCGACCAAAATGTTCGGCGATCATATTGACTTGAGTTTTTGTTAATAATTGGTTGAATTCAAAAGATGCTGAACATTAACATATTATAACTTCTAATTGAAAATGGTTTACAACAATATACAGGATGTTTCATGATTAAATGTCAATATTCGGGGAGGCGATTCGTGGGCCTATTCTAAGAAGAAAGTTTCAATGAACGTATGACCCAAACGTCCTTTTGAGATACAGGGTGGTAAGGTTATCAAAAATTAAGTCCCGTGGGAAAAAAGGAATTTATGAAAAGTGACGTTTTATAACTAGTGGACAGAGATGAAATGTCAAACTTTTTTCCCGACACAGAAAAAAAATGTTTTGTATTTCAATATGTATGATGAATTGGTTGAATGGTTTTGATTTTATTGTCACCTTTTCAATTGTGTTTTTCAAGTGAAGACATAGAATGCACTTTACAACCAGCCCTCACGAATTTAAGAAAAATGGGCTCTTATGCTTCACTAAATGGTTTGGGGCAGAAAACAAAGGAAAATAAGGCCGGGCTCTCAAGATCATCGAAAACTATTTCTAGGGTGAGTAATTGGAGACCGTAACATCCTCGTGTTCTTGAACGGATTTCAAAAAAATGAGAATTGCAACAACAGTAATCAACGAGTTTTATTTGATCATGTGAACAAATTTAAAATATTCATATTTTCAAGGCTTAAAGGTGTAGGACTACATCACATACTCAGATATAATTCAAATTATTTTTGTCTTTGTAACCACTATATATACTAGTTATTGATACATATTAGATGTATTTCCGATGCCTCGTATTTCCTCCAGTATATTCACGAAATTGGTATACAGTCTATACTGGTGGTTGATTAATGTACATACAAAACGTCATTTTCATTAATAGAGCTTAAGAATAAAATAACCGACATAAACATTTTCAAAATTCATCGACGTGAAGTTAGTGTTGCAGGTTTATCCTATTGTGGTGACTGCAAGCAAACATTTGGATGTAATCTTAATTCTGTACGTTTAGTTAATGATCTACCTGAAACATTCTGAACAATAGAGGCTTTAAAAATTGAAAGGAACCTGAAGTAATGTCTACTACAGTAAGCGTTCTATTGAGTTTTCAAACTAGGGTAGGTAACGGCATTTTGGTTTAGGTATTGAAAAAAAATCATGTTGAGAGCCATTAGATTATTTTTATTTTCGCCGAGGTGGTTGAAATCTTTTATAGACATCATATGGGTCCAATCCTCCGACGAGCCATTAGAATACAAAAGTAAATGTTTAAGAACGTTTTCACCCTTCTTTTTGTCTAGTTTTAGTTTGTATAGTATTCATATGGTTATTTGATATATATTCATATATACATATATTTGGTGCACAAAGAATCACTTTTTAAATTTAACCGCCGTTTCGCGTTCATGAAAGTTACTTCCAATCCTGTGGACAGCGACCCCTGCCGGAGAAGAGAGAACGACACAGACGCAACGAGCGGGATCGAGCGCGCAGTTGACTCCTAAAATAAAAATCGATAGAAAACCAATTCTAGTGATTTAAAACCCGCGTTTTTCGGTGCACCGCGTTCGCATATTAAAACTCCACTTCTGGAGCAGCCCTGGAACCTGGATTCCCTGGAATGGTGCAGATTTCAACTGTTTAAGGTAGGAAGTACTTTCCCGCGATTGATTCAGCGTGATTAAAATAAAAATAAAAAGAAAACTACAGTCCATTACAAATCATTTTGATCCTTCGAGCCTGAATAGTTCATTTCAAAATTATCAGTTTGACCATTTTGAAGTACTTATTTCATTATTCAGTTGTAATTCTTTGTGCGCTATCATTAGTCCGTCAGTTTCTTGGTGGTTTGAGGTCTTCCAGTTTTTATTAAGTTCTCAATTACCCGGTTTTTATAATTTACCTATCTTGGGTTCTCTAGTATCCGCACTTTTTTGCTTTCTCGCGCTCGAGCCGCCCGTCTTTACTTTTACACAGGTCCGTCTTTGAAATATATTACTTCGCCTGTGATTGTTAAATTTAGTTTGCCTTCATGAGTTCGAAAGATAAGCTTAAAAAATATAAAGCCTTGCGAAATACGGAAATAGTTCGGTTAAAAGAACTTGCAAATGTATCTCACAGGGCTGCAGATCCTCAGGCAGGTCATTCTGTTCTTTCTGTGTTCAAGCAAAGATATCAGAGCATCGATTCTATTTGGAGTAATTTTGATGAAAAACAGGTAGCCATCATAACTGTCATGTGCAATTCGGATGAATTTACAGAAGCAGATTTAAATAAGGAAGAAGAAATCCGTTCTGAATTCGAAGATATTTATTTCAGCATAAAGGCACTTTTTTCAGATCTGTTTGATCGGAGTGTTCGGGTAAAGTCATCACCTGAGGAGGATTCTGCTCCAAGGGTGAAGTTACCTGAAATGAAGTTACCCAAATTCAATGGGGACATTAAAAGCTTCACTTCTTTTATAGATCTGTTCAATGTTATCGTTCATAAAAACATTTCATTGTCGAACATTGAGAAATTTTCTCATCTGCTTGCATCTCTAGATGGCCCGCCAAAAGCTTTAATCCAATGCACTCCGTTATCTGCCGATAATTATCCTATCGCATATCAGGCTCTGGTTGACAGATATGCAAACACTCGCCTATTGGCTACCGCGCATTGGCATGAAATCGACAATAGTCCGCGAATATCTTCGGAAAATCCACACCAACTCCGTAAATTGGTCGACACCTTCACGGAAAATTTGGCCGCTCTAAAAAATCTGAAATATCCTATTGATCAATGGGATTTTGTGTTATTTCATTTAATGATGAAAAAATTAGACTATACTATTATTTCGCGCTTTAAACTCGAACATGGGTCCAACAATATGCCATCCTATTCGAGTTTGAAAGATTTTCTAATTAAACAGTGCAACGCCTATGAAACGCTTTCTTTTTCAACCCCGCGTATGAAACCCAAACCGCTAAGTTCCGCTCCACCTAACTCGAGAAATAATTCAAATTATCAAACACGTCAAAGTTCGTCATTTTTAACAAATACAAATAATTCACCTAGTTATTCTCGCGATTGTCCGCTCTGCACAGCGCCGCACGCTGTGTATAAATGTCCGATATTTTTGGAAAAATCGCTTAAAGATCGGTATAAATTAGTCAAAGATAAACGATGGTGTGTCAATTGCCTTAGTCACACACATTTATTTAAAAATTGCTCTTCAACATCTACATGTCGCTTTTGCCAGTCTAATTCTCATCATTCCACATTACATTTTGACAATAATCGTTCTGTAGAAGTAAATCCGCCATCTTCCATCGACACTCCTTCCACTAGCCAAAATAATATTTCAAATTCTGCTTTGACCGCTTCGATTAGCACTGAAGCCGACCCTGTCGCGTGCGCTGCTCATGCTGCTGCCAGACAAACTGTATTGCTGGCCACAGCGCAGATAAATATTCGCGATACGCGCGGGAATTTTCAAACTGCACGAGCGCTTCTAGATCCCGGTTCTCAAGCAAATTTCATCTCAGAAAGATGCGTACGCCGTTTAGGTCTCAAGTCGTATAAGTCGTCCATCTCAATATTGGGTCTAGGGGATATGAACACTCTGGCAAATTCGGGTACTGTACAGTGTTGTATTTCCCCTAGAAATTCACCAGAACCTACTTTAAAATTCGAGTCGCTAATTTTGAAGAACATTTGTTCAAATATGCCCTCTTTTGCTTTAAATTCAACAAGTTGGTCGCATATCGCCAATTTGAATCTCGCTGATCCGCAATTTGCTGTTCCCGCTACTATTGACTTACTATTAGGAGCCGACTTGTTTTAACAAATGTTATGTTACGGCCGCGTTGAGGGTGAGGCCGGCCTACCAACTGCTTTGAATACAACTTTCGGTTGGGTTCTGATCGGAAATGTTGAAATTCCGCCGCCCAGTACTTTAAATTCGTTGTTTAGTTCAATTGAAATTTCATCATTGGAGAAAATTGTTACAAAATTTTGGGAGTGCGAAGACATTCAACCGCAAAATGTTTTTTCTCCAGAAGATGCCAAGTGCGAAAAATTCTATTCAGATACGACATTTCGAACAGATTCGGGCAAATATGTGGTTGCCTTACCGCTAAAAGATGATAACTGTCAATTGACATTTGATAATTCCAGAGATATAGCTCGTCGCCGCTTTTTTAGTTTAGAAAAACGACTTGTTAAAAATCCCGCTTTATATTCTGAGTACTCCGCATTCATGCGAGACTACTTGGATAGTTCTCACATGGAAATTATTCCACCATCTGAAATTGATTCCTCGGTATCAAACTATTATATCCCGCATTCTTGTCATAAAACCCGATAGTACTACAACTAAACTACGCGTAGTTTTTGACGCCTCTGCCAGGTGTTCTAATAATATGTCACTTAATGACATTCTCTTGACGGGTCCTAAACTACAGAAAGATATTATGAGTATTATATAGAACTTTCGCTTGTACGCTATTGCCTTTACTGCCGACATTCGCCAAATGTATAGGCAAATTTGGATAAACGAAAAGAATAAAGATCTTCACCGCATTCTTTGGAGATTCTCTCCCAATGACCCGCTATTGGATTATAGACTATTAACCGTAAGTTTCGGAATTTCTAGTGCTCCTTGGCTGGCGTTAAGAACGATCAAACAACTCGCCTTGGATGAAAAATCAAACTTTCCTCTTGCATCCGAAATTCTCTCATCCGATAGTATTTACGTCGATGACATTATCTGTGGATCCGATTCAATGGAAAGCGCTCTTGAAATGCAAAGACAGTTAATTTCTATATGTGAAAAAGGTGGATTTCCTCTAAGAAAGTGGTCTAGTAATAGCCCGGAATTTTTATCGAATTTGCCGACTGATTTCCTTTATAATCAATCATATTCTCTTGACAAAAGCGATAATATGGCCACGGTGAAAATTTTAGGTTTGAAATGGGATCCTTCTGCAGACACCTTTTCATATTCTATCACTCTGCATGATAGACCGTGTACAAAAAGATACATACTTTCAGAGATCGCCAGGGTCTTTGACCCCTTGGGGTTTTTAACCCCCGTTACTGTTTTAGCTAAAATAATAATACAAAAATTGTGGATTCTAGGCATTGGTTGGGATGAATCCCCACCAAAGGATATTTTTCGTCTCAGGAAATCTTATAAAAGAGAATTACCGCAACTTTCCGAAGTTAAAATACCGCGTTTTCTGTTTCCTAATGGTACGAGCAGTGCTGAGATTCACGCTTTCTGTGATGGCTCGGAAAAGGCATATGCTTGTTGTGTCTATTTGAGGCTTATCGAAAATGATCGCATTTCTGTGTTTTTACTGTGTGCAAAATCGAAAGTTGCACCAACAAAATGCTTGTCTGTTCCTCGAATAGAACTGTGTGCAGCTCACCTTCTGTCCAAATTGCTTTCTTTCGTTTTAACGAATTACCAAGCCAAAATCACGATTAGTCGTATTTTTGCTTGGACTGATTCGTCAATTGTGCTTCATTGGGTACGCTCGAACCCAAAAAATTACCGAACTTTTGT